TAATTTCGGTATTTTCGTATTTTTTTAACATAGTGAGAAAAATATTAAAAATATGTTATGTGACCGTAATTTTCATAAGGGAAATGTCACCAGCCAATCAATAAAAGTGTTAAGATAAGAAAATTATATTTACTTTTTTTAAAAAATCAATCATTTATTGAAAGTTTAATAAATAACTCACTATTGCTAAGTTATTTTAAACTACTTAGCAGCAGCTAATTTATTTAAACATAAGAAACCTCCAGTAATCAGCCTTAACAATTACATAAATACTCCTGCTAAGTAACGTCTTCATACGCTTACTTCTTCATTTTCTTATAAACTTCTTCATTATCCTCAGCTTTAATAAAACATAAAATGCTTTTGGGAGACTTTTTTTTCATGGAAATTGAGTAAGAGCTTTCTTTGCTTCATAGTGTAATTAGAAAAAAGTAGATATATTATTCAGTTTACGATCATCTAAAACTTCTATGAACGTTAAATCTACCACCGGTTCCAAAAGCCATATTTCTAGAGAAGGAGAAAATCTGGTTCATAGCTTAAATTCGATAGCAAAGAATGTTATAAACTTACTTTTAAACGAATTGAAGAAGTTTAAATGAAACTAAATGTTACGAATTTTATTGCGTATTTAAACTTATTTTGTATTCCCGTCCCAGTGTCATAGTTAAACACGGCTACCTTCAGTTAACAAATATTAGTTTAAGTCCGATGTACGCAGAATGGGCGTATCCTTGAAGTCTTGCAATCGTATACTTGTTTTGGGATTTAATTATAGGATCCTAAGCAGATGGTAACGCGCATTCCCTCGTCATAGTAATCTTCTCCATAACATTCCAAAGCAGTCATAAGAATCGTCATCTTCCAGTTCTCTTAGTTCAGTTTGGGAACTGTTTTCTTTTTTATAGAGCATGTCTAATATCGCTAACTGTATACCATGAGCTGGTGGAAAAGTGCTGCTTCTCTTCCAAATGCGATCATTACACTGGCACCGTCATTAGTTGTATAGGCGAGCGGGCGGATTCGTCGTCGGCTAGGACTCGGGAGTAGGTACTCTCTCTCTCTCACTCACTCCAGAGTGTAGTCGGGCGACTTGCGTTGCATAGTCGAGCCGCGTTGCCATAGCATCCACCACGCGAAAAGCGTGGGCTATTTAATTTTTTTTAACATAGACTTATAATGAAATACCGAAAAAGTCGTAAATACCGGTTTCCGTTCACTCAATCCCGGTATTTTAAAGCTTTCGTTGCAGTCCGGTATCCCGGTATTTTCAAGATTCGGAATCCCGGTTTGCGACCCCTACCTCATATCCTGTCAAACAGCCATGAGATTAAGAGTGTGATCGGAGAGTTTTTGTGTCCTTCTGCGGCGGGTCTTGCAGAAATTAGCTCCGACCGCATGGACAGTTTCCACGAGTTTGTCATTCATATCGTCGACTGCATTGCAATCTTCTAAGCACTGAAAGCGGTTACGTTACTCGAGCTGAAAGGTTTCGGGATTCTGGATTAGAGCAAAAGGGGGACGGAGCGTCGACTTCATTAGACGAGACTTCTCCAACTTAACGTTTAGGTTCAGTGTGCCTCTAACCGTTCGGTGATCGCTGCCAGTTTTCACCCTTGCGATCACTGAGACATCACTAAACAGTTGGCGTGTAGTAGTCATAATGATGTTAATCTCATATTTGTCGAACCGTGAAGGCTCGACCAGGTCCACTTTCTGTGGAGCCGCTTCTGGAAAAAAGATTTCATCATAAAGAGTCCTTCTTTTTCCATGAAGTCGGCCAGCTACTGGCCCCTTGGATTGCCTTGCCCTATCCCAAATTTCACTACCTTCAGCTCACCGTTCTTTCTTGTGCCTAATTTTGCGTTGAAGTCTCCCATTAACACCGTATAGTGAGTTTTGGAGGAATGCATGGCTCTAGAAATATCTTTATACATTTCCTCCACCTCTGTATCGGGAAGTGCAAACGTTGGTGCGTAAACCTGTATGACCTTCAGCGAATACCTTTGGTGATTCTGAGTATGAGGCACGCAACCCTCGTCGATACACTCCCAATCTTTAAAACGTTGTTAACGAGAGACTTGTGGACGATAAATCCAACACCTCCTTGGGACAGATTCTTAGCACCCCCGGCCCCGTCGTTACCATGGTCGCCACCGTAGCCAGGAATAGCGGAGCCGCCGGGGACTGGGGGCCGTCTATTAATGTAATACTTCATTGGGGGGTACATCGCCATAGTTGTCACGCTTGGCGAACAGGTTGGTAACCGCAGTTTTTTTGTTGTACAGTTGTTGTTATCAGAAAGATGCTGCTTCCCATCTCCTGCCTGTTTCCCTCTGTCGCCTCTTACGACACCCACGGGAAGATATCGGGTAGTGGATATTCTTAACCGCCACTACACGGCAATATCTTTGGTTGACCGGAGTTATTTCCAAACGTCCACACTCTTAGCCACTTGTTATTATTATTTGGTCGCGTTGCACGCATTGGCGCGTAGTTGTTACTGCGATTTACTTTTGAGTCATTTAGGAGCGATGAATATCAGATGATGTGGTGGAAGGCCTTTGTCTCGTAGAAACTAATGTTGATCGACGTGGAACGCCTTGATAGTCGTTTTCTGTAGAGTAGATCGTATCACAAGAAGTGATGAATAGTAACAGTTGGCTGTTAATCATTAAGACATTATGATAACTGTGTGTAATGGTAAATGTGTGTAAACTATTAAATACACGTGCAAAAAACATCGATAATGTTCGATCAAATGTTCGTTCAAAATCGATGTTTTGAGTAGGATAAACATCGAACATCAATGTTGCGCTATCGATGCCAACATTGATGACATCATCGATGTTTGTTTCTACAACATCGATCATCCCAAGTGTTAGCACTGTGTATGTAAAAATATACGTGTGTGCAGGAAGAAGAATCACTGGTTGTCTCCTTTACTCAATGGGAGTGAGGCGAAGGGCAGCACTGGCAGCACGTCGCAACATTGTGTTACGCGGTTGTAATAGGAATTAAGTGTCTTGAAACATTTTTTGCTCGATTAAACTTTTAACGATAAAATATTTTTATGTACCACTAAATTATTTTACCAAATTTAAATCAGGTTAAAATTAAATTTCAAAATTTTATAATTAGAAAGCTAGAACAACACACGATATGTACGAGTACGTCTACTTCTGACTGCCTACGGAATGTATCTCCTTTTATACAAACTTAAATAAAGTTTTTGAACTTGGAGCAGTTCACATTTTGGATATTTTCCATCTGAGTCAATGTGGGTGACAATAAAAACGGTTGAAAAAAATTAATTGACTGGGCTTTATAAATAAATTCCGGCAATGATTGGGCAAAGTAATAAAAATAAGTCACATATTCCATCATCGGTATCTTTTCAAAAATAAAAGGTATTTTTTCTTTGTAACGCAAAGGAAGGAATACTCCATTCCAGCTATTAGGTGTGTCGGCGCACGTCATCGCGCCTCGGCCAAAATGATGGACGCGGGCGCGGACCGGTCGCTGGCCTCGCGGCAGCGCGAGCGCTTCTGTAACTCACTCAGCAGCGAGCACGGCATGGAATCTTAGAACAAAAAAATTGCCCTTATTTTCAACCATAGACAAACCGGTAGTTTAGAATATGACATTTCTTATTATCACAGACTAAGATTTCAGTCTGGATGACAGTCAATAGTCAATTATATTCGTAGTATCTTCTTAGTAGTCTGTGATTATATTACAGCATAGAGACATTGGGTGCGTTTGGCAGAAAAAAGCGCTAGCAAGCGCTTGTAAGCAAAATGGCGATCGTAAGCGGTAAGCGCTGTCAAATCGTAAGTAGCTATTTTCCTCTAGGACACGATGTTAGTTTTAACCGGGGAACCTAACCTAATTTAAATATATGTTTGTGAAGTATTCATATTAAAAATTAACAATCATGAATTTTTAATAACATGTATATGTCTATTCATGTCATTATATTACTTAAAACTAATATTGCAAAAAACATCTTATAAACTCTACTTCAAAACAAACAAACTAAATAAGCAAAATGGCGGATTGTGTCAGCGTTACTGAAGTAGCAATCGTGTCCTGGCCGAAAACTATTTTAGCGCTAGTAAGCGCTTGCTAGCGCTTTTTCTGCCAAACGAACCCATAGAGTAGTCTAATGTATACGGAAATATTATGTACTACAGTTTTGGATTTGATCGAGTGAAGTTGCGTTGAAGTGTTAAACTCCGTGTTTATCCTCTCACGTTCAAAATTGTGATTTGACTCTTCATTATGAAGGATACTTGTTGCGTTCATTGTCGTGCAAGCGTCGTAATGTTAAATTACATTGTTTTCCAAAGACTGAGATAGGACTCAAGTGGGTGGAAATAATTAATTGTGAAAAATTAAAGCAGCTCAGTTCTGAAGAGCTACTGTACGATATATTACTTTCCTCTATGAGAGCTACGTAAGTTTTTTGTGTACCATTGACGATGCAAAGATTCTAACTAGCGCCTATAATGCTCCGATAGGAGTAATAGTGTTCTGTGCTCTAGTGTCAAAATTGTGAATCTGTAGAACGACACTTTGACAGTTTTCGTAACAGTTAGGCTGTTAGTCTAACGTCAGGGAAAAACATACATATCAAATATCATCACAAATAAGATTTATGTGGCATTTTGCTGTTTAAGACAATAATTATGTTGTCAATAGTCGATGTAATTAATGCGTCTGCAGGATACACAAAACCAATGCGTTCTGGTGAAGAATTATTACGGAGTGGAATGGTGATTTCGGTTGGAAAAAAGAAGAGAAAAATAATGACATAATTCGCGTACAAGCACTGGTACTGCGCACGTTATTCCAAACTACCAGCCATTATAAAACTGTGGATAGATGTATCTCAAGAATATGGAAATAGATTAGTTGGTGATAATGAACAAGAAGTCACAAAGGTCTGCGATTGCCCTGCTGGAGCTTCAGAGAAATGTAAACACATATTAGCTGTCATGCTTTATCTCTCAAGGTTTGTGAATTGATAAATAACTTTTATATCTATTTGTCCTACCTCATCCATATGCACTATGAATACTATAAATGTTAAAGTAGGTACCTAATTTACTCTGGCTGTCTGTCTGTAACAATTTTACTGAATTGCGTGTTATTTGTTTTGTTGGAAAATGCAATTGTTGAACCATCGAGCCAAAAAACAGCAATAGGAGTGACTGATTGAAGTGTCGTTGTGTTTTTGGCTATTTCTTATTCTGAGAGCTGTTGAAATACCTTTTTTTTGTTTATTATTTCTGTTGGTGTTGGTTTTAGTAGTCATAAATCCGTAAGTGTTTAGTAATTGTGACGTTTTATATGTAATTAGTTAGAATAAAATGGAGGAAGATCCTCCCGATCCCGACGGGGTTCCACGTGACTCCCATACTGGTACGAAAAAAAATAATAATATTCCTATCGAAATTGATCAGTCGAAGCGTAAAAGATTGCAAGCAACCAATAACTCAGGTCATCCTCAGAAAAGATTAATTACAGATCCATCTCAACCTGTTCCATCTATTCAGACCTCTTATACCCACCCCTTTTCTATGAATACATAGAAAAAAAACATAAATATTCTAATAACGACAATGCGCCGTTTATTGTACATGTAAGTAAGAGAGTAGATGATTTATCAACTGGAGTAGTTTTAAAACCGATAAAGTTTGGTCATTTTCTCTACCATAATAATATTAAAAATGTTGTAAGTGATGGTGTTAAGCGAGTAGGACGCAATAGAATTTCAGTCGAGTTTAAAAGTGCAGCTGATGCAAATTGTTTTATTGAGAACCCAGCCCTTGCAGGTGCTAAATATGATACTGTAATCCCTTCTTATAATGTCACACGCATGGGAATAGTGAGGCAGGTCCCTGTAGAATGGACATTAGAGGAACTCATCTCATCAATCGAGGTCCCAGCTGGTTTTGGCTCAATTATTAAAGCTCGCCGATTTAATAGAAAGTCAGTTAATGAAAACCAAAGCACTGTGTGGATTCCCTCTCAAACAGTTGTTTTGACTTTTTCCGGTCAGAAACTTCCTTCTAACATTTATTGTTTTTTTACCTCAATGCCTGTTGAGCCCTACATTTTACCTCTTATTCAATGTCACAAATGTTGTCGTTTTGGGCATGTAACCTCACAGTGTAGGTCATCTTCCCGGTGTTTTGTGTGTGCTCAAAATCATGAAGGAATATCATGCACAAGACAGTCTCCCACATGCTTATTTTGTTCAGGATCTCACACAGCTAAAGATCCTTCCTGCCCTGAACACTCTAGGCAGAGATCTATCAAACTTACCATGTCACAGGAAAATATTTCCTATCTAGAAGCATCTGCCCGTTTCCCTTATGTCCGGAGATCTTATGCAGATGCTGCTAGAATCCTTCCTTCGTATGATCATCAGAGTCCCTATCCTATTACAAATTCCCCTTTACCTTCAGTTGTCCCCTCACAATCTCATTCTTACAGGAAGACTACTTTTACTCCAAGACTTCCGCCAAATCCAGCATCAAGTCATGGATATGATAAATCTGCCCACGAGGCAATAATAGATACCCCTTCTTCTTCAACTACTAATGGTTGTGCTTTAATAGGGCGGAGTATTTCCCCTAATGACAATCTCTGTGAGTTAATGATCTCCATGCTTATAAGTATGCTTTCCCGTTTCAGCGATATGGATCTCCCACTTGCCCTCCGCCAAAAACTTACTGAGCTCATCTCATTAACAAATAACCTTCCCTCCAATACTTCAGTGGAACTGCCGGAGCATTAATAATAAAAAAAATGAATTAATTTACCTTATTAATAAATTCCATCCCCACATCCTAGCCATTCAAGAGACATGGCTTAAGCCTGGGTCCCATTTTAGGATTTCAGGTTATTCATGCCTCAGGAATGATAGGAATGATGGTCATGCTGGCTCTTTCATTCTTATCTCAAAATCAATTACTTATACATTAATTTCCCTCCCTTCTCATAGTCCTTCAATTAATGTTGTAGCAGTTAGAGCTCATAACACTTCTTTTCTTTCTATTTACATTCCCGAACCTAGTGTAAATGTTTTATCAGAACTTACGAGGATCACATCCTCCATCCCGCCTCCTATGGTAATTCTTGGTGATTTTAATATGCACCATACTTTATGGGGCTCCCATTTTTGCGATCCCTGGTCTTCTACATTTTTAGACATCATTGATGATTTAGATCTCTGCCTCCTTAACGATGGTTCACCTACACGTAGAGTATCCCCCCTCCAAAATCCTAAAAGTGCAGTAGATCTGTCACTCTGTTCTCCTGCTCTGTCGTCCCTTCTTTCTTGGAGAATACTACCCTTTTCCCATGGCAGTGATCATTTCCCTATTGTTATCAATCCCCCTAGCTCCTATACAGTCAATGTTCCATTCAATCCTAGGTTAAAATATAACACTTCCAAAGCAAACTGGCAACTATATTCCACAGTTCTAGAGGAAGAACTTTCAGCCCTCCCTCCTGTTCAGAAAGATAATGTTCTCCAGGTGTATGCTTCTTTTAAAAACGCTATTTTATCTGCTGCCAATAAGACAATTCCCATCAAAAAACCTTATAAAAATAATGCCCCTTCACCACCTTGGTGGGATCAAGATTGTTCTGTAGCATGTAAGAAGAGAAAGGAAGCTGAAGTAACATATTCCCACTCTATGAATTTTGACAACTATATTTTTTATAAAAAAACTGCTGCTGAAACATTAAAATTATTATCCGGGAAGAAAAAGGCTGGATGGCTTAAATTCTGTGAGTCACTGTCGCCTAGGACCCATCCATCATTAGTCTGGAAAAATATAAAAAAATTCCGATGTTCAGTTTTGACCTCTGAAAACACAATTTCTAATGATCAGTCTTATTGGCTAGAAAATTTTGCTAGTAATCTTGCTCCTCCGTCAGTACCATCTTACAATGAATGTATAGCATTTCAATCACAGTCCTTGCACTATCAGCACAGTTTTGACGCCCCTTTCTCTTATGAGGAGTTATATGCTGTTCTTAGTGTCCTTAAAGACTCTTCACCAGGAATTGATGGAATTCCTTATTCTTTTATTATTAATAGCAGTGAACCTATTAAAGTCCATCTTCTTTCTATTTTGAATTGTATTTACATGTCTGGTATTCCTCCAGAAGAATGGAAATCCCAAGTTATTTTACCTATTTACAAACCAGGTAAGCCTTACACTGATCCCTCAAGCTACCGCCCTATCGCTCTTTCTTGTACCATGGCCAAAATCCTTGAACACCTAATAAAAAATCGTTTAGAATGGTTTCTTGAAAGCAAACGGCCTTCTAGCAACAAGCCAATTTGGATTCCGAAAGGGCTTAAGCACCATGGATAGCCTTAGTACTCTAGTTACTGATATTCGTTTAGCTTACTCTAAACATGAATACCTTGTTGGAGTCTTCCTAGATATCGCGTCTGCATATGACAATGTACTTCTTCCTATGCTCAGGCAAAAAATGCTCAATCTGAGTATTCCAGTGAGGATAGTAAATTTTGTCTCTAACTTTCTCTCTTCTAGATCCATTTATATTGATAGTCAACATTCTCTACTCCCACCAAGAATAGTATGGAAAGGTCTCCCACAAGGCTCAGTACTTAGTCCTTTGCTCTATTCTATCTATACTTATGATCTAGAGCTTTCTGTTAACTCATTCTGTAACATCCTCCAATATGCAGACGATATAGCTATATATATTTCCTTGGATAACCTCCCTGCAGCTTGTTCCCGCTTGAATTTATCAATGTCCTATTTACATGATTGGTTAACTGATCATGGTTTGTCTTTGGCTGTTCCCAAAAGCAGTGTTGTGATCTTCTCTCGCCATAGGCAACTCCCTGAAATCAACATTCTCTATAATAATGAACCTATCCCAATTAGGGAGAATGTAAAATTTTTGGGAGTTATTCTTGACTCCAAACTAGCCTTTTCCCATCATAACAACTATGTTTCCCAAAAAATGTGAAAAAAATATAAATATTCTTCGAGCTTTATCGGGAGTTTGGTGGGGCTCCCAGCCATTCTCTCAAAAATTATTGTACAATGCCCTTATTCGTAGTCATTTGGATTATGGGTGCTTTGTCTTGGAACCCTGTAATAAGTCTTCCATAAAGAATCTAGATAGGATTCAGGCCAAAAGCCTTCGTATAATCATTGGGTCAATGAAATCTTCCCCAATAAATGCTCTCCAAGTCGAATGTGTAGATCCCCCCTCTTTACCTAAGAAGACAATATCTTTCGGACCGATTCTTTTTTAAAATCTACCAACTCTCTTCCCACCCGCTCATTTCTAAATTACACCTTCTTTTGGAATATATTTCATCAAAGCATTACTGGACTCATAAAGAATCTCCCTGCTTATCCAACAGTTTGGTAACATTACTCCATCTACCACACCCAGTATCACAATGCAAGTCCTGTCCCATCTTTGATATCCCATATGATGCAATTATTTATCAACCAAATATCCACCTCGACCTTGGTATTGAGAAAGATTGCCCTATAGCAAATAGTAAACTAAGTAGAGTCATAGATAACTTATGGAAAGGCTGGCTTATTATATACACTGATGCCTCCAAAAAGTCAGGTGAAAGTTGCACTGGAGCAGCCGTTTGGATTCCCAGATACAAAATAATCCTCAATTTTAAATGCCCTTCTATTTCTTCCACTTTTACTGGCGAGGCCACGGCAATTTATGAAGCTTTAATTTATATAGAAGCACACAACCTAAATAAGTCAGTTATTCTTACTGACTCCAAAAGCTGTTTGTTAGCAATTTTGTCAAACCAGTTCCAAAGTAAATATAAGATACCCTTGATCCTCAAAATTAAACACACATTGTATACATGCCATCTCAAGGGTATTCAGGTTTCCTTAGCTTGGATTCCAGGTCATAGTGGCATCAAGGGCAATGAAACAGCTGATCTGATGGCTAAAAATGCAAGTCGAAATGGTTTGCCATGTAATTTAGTTTACTCTTCAGACATAGTGTTACTTGCAAAGAAGAAGTTAAATAATAATTGGAATACATTATGGAAAGCCACTCAAAATATAAAAGGTAAACACTATGCTGCTATACAAGGTGCCATTCCTCCAAAACCATGGTTTTTCAAATTTAATAAAGCTAACAAACAGTCAACATCAACTATCTGTAGACTTCGAATTGGCCATGCTTGTACACCAGTACATTTAGCCAAACTGAGGATTAGGGACAGTTCCCTCTGCGAATGTGGGTTAGATGAGGGAACTTCTGACCATATTTTTTTTAACTGTCCTAAATTATCTTCTTCACTCTATGATCACCTCCCTCCTGACATCCCTCGTCCTATAAATTTTGATTCACTTTTAACCTACACAAACACTCCTTATGTATATATTCTGTGTGATTTTATTAACTCTAATAGTATAAAAGTTTAATGTTTGTCAATACTAATATACTAAAGTAGTTATAGCAACTGTGTTTGTCATTTGTCCTAGGTAATTCAACAGTACAACCACTAGTATTATAAGATAAAAAGGAAAATTTAATTGTTTAAATAAAACAAGACACTTGTATTATCACAATCTTCTTTAGTTCATGGGCATAGTATTTGTAACTACTGAGCTTGTACTCAATAAACACTTCCACGCTGACATTGGCGAATAATCAAAAACCGCCAAAAAAAAAAAGAAAGAAGAAGAAGAAGAACAATTTTACTGCCAGATAATAGATAATGTAAAGTACTTACCTATATAAGTACTAAAATTAGACCATAATTGTAAATGATTAGCTATTTTTCTCTTTTTAAGAACTGAGGAGGCAGATCTGGAGGACCTGAGTTGTACCGACATTGAGAAACAATGGGGTACACTTAAAACTACAGCATTGAAGGAATACGAAGCAAAATCATTGTCTGAAATGTGCCATGTGGAAGGACATCTATGTGAAAACAATGCCAGAAGTCACTGAAGAGATGGAAAGTCGTTGGAGAATGAAGTTAATACAGAGTAAATACTTGTAAAGCATAAGAGTATATGGCACCTACCTGGAAAACATCAATTTGATAAAAAATATTATATTTGCAGATTGAATGTACAGTTACAAACTAAAATGAAGTTTCAAAAATTATGTTGTTTATTTCAGGCACACCAAACAGTGAATATTCTTTATTTACAAGTCTCATGCGAAGAGGTGATGGAGTTGTTGATTATGGTGAAAGGGTAATTAGTAGAAGTGTAGACAAGACAAAATTTCCTGAAAAACTATTGACTTTTAATTTGTGGTGGGTAATGAATGTATTAAGAAAACTGACTGAAGAAAAGTTGAAGACATGTGAAGTAAATGAATTTGAATTTTACAACAGATATGTAGCTGTATCATTAGACCAAAGTACAGAAATAATCAATGCTGAGCAGGGTACTCCTTCATGGCATAAAGCTAGAAAAGTAAGACTAACAGCCTCCAAAGCGAGAGCCCAGTTTACTTATTATTCTAATAAAAATGCTGATTGGGATAAAAGATATCGAGAGGTTTTTCACAGTAATTTCCTTGGCAATGAAGATACTATCAGAGGCCTTCGCTGTGAAGCAGTCGCAAGAGATTTATATGCAGAGCATTATAGCTGCATGATTTTAGAGTCTGGATTGCTGGTTCGACCAGAATTACCATGGCTTTCTGCAAGTCTAGACGGTACTGCCATGGATAAAGATGGAAATTTTCTTAGAAATATTGAGATTAAGACATTAAAGGAAGGAACTCGTTTAACTGCATATGAACTTATAGAAATGAATGCAATTCCTATATTGGATAAAAATTAAAATTTGAAAAAAAAAATACTCAGCATTATACTCAAATGCAAGTAGGTATGTTATTGTCAGGTATTACAGAATGTGATTATTTAGTTTACTCTGAAATAGGAAAGGATTTAGCTGTAAGAAGAGTTTCATTTGATGAAAATCATATTTTGGAAATTTGTGTATGTCTTGTTAATGTTTATTTTGAGAAATTTCTTCCTAGAATAGTTAACGAGTATGGATCAAATTATGACTGAATTTGAATAAAAATAAATACAACTCTGTGTACTAAATTATTTATTCACTGTAAAAATTTATTGCCACTCTTACAATACCCTTCCTATTCATAAGCTTCCCTTGTTTCGCTTTTGGGTATAATTTTCAATAACTACATAAATTTATCAATGTGAATAATTGGTGGACCCAAATTTGTAAGACCACCAACAATAATTAATATATCATCAAAATAAGGCGCCAGTGACCATGGTAATGGTCCACATAGAAGTTTATATTGTCGTAATCTCTGTATGACTCTCTCAACATGCACTCTTGCCCGTGCAATCTCTGCAGTGCGGATTGCATCTTCTTTGGTCATCTGCTTTTTCTGACTCAAGAAAGGAGGCCTGACAAGCTAAAGCAGATGCTGTAACAAGAACATTAATATGTAAATACATTGCATAATTAATCAAATGTTATTTGTACTAACTATTCAATTAATATCCTTAACTAACTTCATTACCTTCATTTCATTCATTTGTATCCTTTATCCACAATCACTCCATCATTAAACTCATATTTATTTAAGATTCCTGATTCATTTACAATATGTTTATCTGATGCTCGACCACCATAAGATGCACTTATTTCAGTTATAAGGCCAGAAGGAGTTATTCCAATATTAAACTTCGCTGTATTGTTTTTTTTTATATTGAGAGTATGTCAACATTCAACATTTTAAACATTTACATTTTTCAATCACAGTTTCAGCACAGTCTAATATAATTCTTGTATTTTTATATTTTTGGAATGATTTAGGTTGCTACGTATCGTTTCGATATCAGGCCAAGGAATAACAACTTTGAGTACTCTACTTAGCATGGGGCACATATTATTAAAATAATTAGAACATGTCTGCCTGTTTATACCAAACAAAACACCAATGGAAAAACACTAAATGACATATTTTGTTTAATTTTTACCATTGTCAAAATAACTCTGTCTCTTACAGATAACATTTTCTTATTTGTTGGAGCATCTAAGGCCAATTCACTAACACAAGTCACCAATGTTTCTAAAAGTTCTATTGAATGAATACCCGTAAAAGTAAATAAATACATATCACTACTGAGTAAATCTGAGAGGGTTAATTGCTTTAAAGCTGATCTATCCTCTTCCCACATGGGAAGAAAATTTATTTGAGTGCACTATTCCAAAGGTTCTTTATCACAAATAATGTCAGCTATACTCCAATCTTCTCGGGAATGATAATTTCTGTAATCCACTAAATTGACTTGTGTCGATGAAGTCATGACATGAAGATGACTGTTGTTATCAGTTATATTATTGTCCTCAAATCCATCTTCAAATTTAGTTTGTTCATTCTCAATAGCAAGTCCAAGCTCTTTATTTGATTCCACTATTTTCCTGTGTCTAATATCAGCCCTATTTTCTCGAGCAATTGATTTTATTTTTTGGGCTAATGGTACTTCTTTATCAGAGCTTCTTTTAGGAATATTCTGAGACGGTACGACATAAGGAAAAAAACTTCTGCCTTTTAGAATCTGGAACAATAAATAATCTCGTTATCTGACGAGAAACTCGCCTTAGCGTAAACTAAATGAATAACATAGGAAATACATATAAATATAATTTATGTACAATAAAATAATTAAAACATAATTATACTTACTATTTGGAAAAAAGTCTGAAGCTTGAAAATGATGAGAACAAACTCTCATTGATGGTGAAATTGGCTTGCCTATTCTTAAAGCAGTCTTCCATTTTTTCTTCATAATTTTGTCTTTTGGGAATAAATGAAAACTTATTCCCGTATCTCCGTAAGTACTACATTGAGGAACGCAAGAATATTTCGTATTTCTGCTTTTATTAGCAACAGGTTTCCGTATATAATCGTGATCCATCTGAATAATCTAAACATAACCTCAACAAATAACAAACAAAGTGTCGTCCTTAGACAGCTTCTAAATTTCGCCACTAGAGGCGTGCGGATAATCTTTGTTGCCATCGCCTATAAGCACTTTGAGCACAGCTTTGAGCCGAAAGTTACCAGCAGTTTGCGTCTTCAACAATTTGCTTATCCCACCTTATTTACGGCTGATGAAATAAATACTGGAATATCTGCTCTGGAAATGGAAAACTACGGTAATCTACTTATTTATCTGTTAGGCACGCCTTACATGATCTTGTATTTTTAGTATAACTGCATAACTCTTCATAACAATTGTAAATATTTTGCTGAATAATCCGTCAATATCACTGAAATAATTGTCAATTCTTTTTTAAATTTGGTTATCTTACTAAAATCATTTAATAGTTACTATTACATTATTATATTTAAGCCATTCGTTAATGAAATCAAGTATTTAGGTTTGTGGTTGGATTGTACACTTAGATGGGGAAAACATATTTGATGAGTTAACTAAAAATTGTATAAATATAATAACACTGTTAAAAGTCTTGTCAGGTGGGGTATCCATCAAAAACATATCAGACAATTCCATATTTCTATTATTTGAAGCAGAATTTACCATGCTGGCTTCCTATATGAGAATAGTTTTCAAACAAATTTGCAGAAATTGAACATGTAACAAAACCAAGGTACCTCTTATAAAACCACCAATGACAAATGTAATTGGTGGTTTTATAAGAAGCACCCCAAACCATGTTATGGAAAATGAGCTGTGTCTCCCGTCACTCAACTATATATATGAAAACTGGTACAAAGTTTTCACAGATGGATATAAAGACAAAAATTTTAGATTGATTCTGTTATTTCGATTATACATATTAAATTATTTACTATATTTGAAGCTCTATCATATAATGATTCAATATCAATTTGCCAATTTGTTATTTTAACTGATTTTAAAAGTTCCCACAGTATTTGGCTCATTGTACCTTTCAAGTGAGATGACCATTTGCCAATGATACAATAAAATTGATCTAAAAATTGCAATCTCGAAATAAAAAGATTATTATTCAATGTTTGCCATCTCACATATACATAAGGGGAAATGATGTTGTTGACCTGTTAGCAAAACAGGCAGTTGTGGACGGGATTCCATTAATAGTGTTAGCCCTTTTTCTGACCGTATTAAACATGTAGATCAGTAAGAGCATTATGGCAAGAACATTTTGAAAGATCGTGGGTTGGGATATTTAGAAAACTTCTTCTATTATTTTATTGCTTTTACAGCCTTTAGTCTTACTGGTAAATTGTCATCGAAAAACAGTTTTAAGTATCATTTAATACATACATAAATACTCACACCTGTAACTCAGAGAGGTAGGCAGAGATTACAGACTTACATTTGGCAGGATCCTATCACACCTATCTTGCCTTCTCCACATCCATAGTATCATAGTATCCATGTGTAGGTAACACACATGCATGCATACATACACATCAGTTAACCCGCTGTTGGTCATGCTCAATTCTTGTAACTGAGTTGGTCAATTGGGGTCAGCCAATAACCCCTAAAATAAACATAATTTTTGTAAAATATATGGCTTTATTAAAATTAATTTATGATTTAGTGAATAGTTAAGAGTATATACAAATAAAAATCACATATGTTAATTAAAAAAATTTAATTGTAATTGTTTTAACTATTAAAACAGCAAAGAAGCTTTTAGAGGTGTTTATTTATAGAAATCTATAATAAAATTATTAGAGATTTAAATTATATCAAGAAAAACTTTTTTCTCACAAAGTTAAATCTTCATAAAGTCGATAGTAATAGTAAAAAAGAACATGCTGATTGTTACAATAAGTAAATATACATTCTTCACAAATATTTTTGCAGTGCCTAGAGCATACATTTTTTTACACACTGTAAAATATTTTCTACGTCATTTTTGCTACTTGAACCAATGCTCTGATTTTCAGTGACAGCTTCTGGTTCTGAATCGCATTCTTCTTCTGTATGTTTCATGCTCACTTATTTGAGGCTCTATTTCATCACCACCTTCATCATCTTTCCCACCAATTACATCTTCATCTGACTCTTCCTCCAACCACTTTCTAGTATGTTACAAAAGTGACTAACTTATTTTGTACTTCTAATAATAATTACACTTTTATAATGTCGTTGGTCACGTGGGGTCAACTGACGCCCTCCTGACGTGCACGAGAAATATGTCCGTGGTGTTCAAGTGCACAGCACAAACTTAAAGGTCATTCGTTTGAATCGGGTCTTAGTCATTATAGGAAGGTAGCTAGAGTTTGAATGTGATAAAAAATACGGAAAAATTTTGGAAAGTTATGTTTTGGTAATTTTCACATTTGCACTTTGAACAGTATTTTGGCTTATCCAATGTCGAAGAAGGCTAAAATGCTAGTCAAGCTGGCAGACTTGTCTCTGTGTAGGGTATAGTTGTGACCGTTTATAGTTCCACTTATTCCTCAGGTGTGATTATTTATAGCCACGCATGTTCCTTTCACATAACTATTGTTACTTTAATACACCTTTATGTTTTAATTTTCTATTTAATTTTTTTAAATGTTACCTCCACACTAGGAATTTTCCTGTATCGTAGGGGCAGTTTAAAAACAAAAGTTTTACAAGGACAAACATCCAGACCTGGAACCATTACATGTACGGGATTCGAACCCGCAACCCTTAGAATTGTAACTCATTGCTAAGCCACTGCGCCACGGTGCCGTCATAATAGTCGTCATAGTAGTAGAGCCGCTGTTGTGTTCATTTCATTCCATGCATTTATTACAGCATATAAAAGTGAACTGCTGAACATAGGCATCGCTGACAGATTGCCTAATGGCAAATAATTTGTCGCAGTTTCCACTCTTGGCAGGTGGATTGATAACCACACTGTTATTTTAAGTTGTGATCATAAAGATGCTGCTGCTCCCCTCCTGTTTTATTTTCCTTCTGTTGCCTCTCACCACCTTTGGGACGACACACAGTTTTGTGTCTTTGTTAAGCTGTAACAAATGAATTTATTTATCTCTAATGGTTTGTTTTATTCAAATCCTTTTTATTTCAGAAAACCAAAATGTTTTTCATGATCATGATTATACACAAGTACGAAAAAGACACCATGAAGATCATTCCTACTCCAAAACAGAACCTTTGAAATCTCTAGGTACTTATTTTCTTTCTTTTCGTTACACTCAGCAGAACAGTTGTTTTGCATTAATGCATTTTAATGGTTTAGGTAAAATTTTAATTGTTCATCATTATTGAAGTCTAGATATAATAAGTAAATTTTTGAAACCATTATTGAAATCCTATACCTTTAAACTTTTATATATATAATCGGAATCTCAGAAACGGCTCCAACGATTTTCATAAAATTTAGTGTCCAGGGAGTTTCGGGGGCAATAAATCGATCTAGCTAGGATTTATTTTTAGAAAATGTCCTTTTGTCCGTGTGTTTTCAGGCAATAAAAAAACTGCTATAAGAAGGTAAATTTTGACAGATCACTAACGATCCTAATAGCTCAGGTGGGATGTCGGTCGGGCGTGATATTAGAGTTCCGTGGTTCGTGTCCTGTCTCTGGTCTGGCTTTTTTCCCTTTTTTTTTAAGTTCCCTTCTTTTGTGAGAAAAGCCAAACCCTTTTTTTAGTATTTTTTAAAAATACGAAAATTTTAATAAAACTAATAACCAGTTCAGTTTTTTCTATTCTGTCAATAAGATCAAAAATATTATTTATGTTTCATCAGTATGTAATTTATAAATGTAATTTCAAAAAATAAAACCGAGCAAAGCTCGGTCATCCGGGTACTATATAAATAAAATTTAAAAATTTAAAGCTATCATTAAGATGACAAAGTTATTTGTTGACATCGTAATGATTGTCACTTTGTTGTTCATTAACAATAAAAAAAATTGTTTCCAGATTACAATGAACCACCACCCATCTATAAATGTTTTAAAATGACAGAACAAACAGCAGTGTGTCCACATCGTGACAAAACTGGTAAATATAATTGTAGATTTTTTTAAGGAATTTGGCTAAATTGTTTTAACACTTATAATATTTAATTTTTAGTTTATTTTTTTAATGTTTTAGCCAATATGCCATCTACTCATAAGGACTTAGTAGAAACTGCTAGTGACCAAACCAATCAGCCACCGATAATGCCAGGTAACTCAGCCAGATTATTTATATAAACTTGTAAATGAATTAATATCATATTTTATACGTTGTTATTTTTGGAATTTTAAGCAGTAAATTTTATGTTGTACAGATTTGCCGCAATGTAGTAATGTCAAAAAAAATTTCACCAACATATCTGAGAATATTAAGGACGCGTTTACAAAATGGATAGGTATAGAATCGCACTACTACATTGACAAAAGTCACACACACACTAGTGTACGCACGGTTGGCTGTGGGAATCGTAGTCAAATGAAATTATTTTGATAATTTGAAAGATTGAATTTGTTTTTCATTTCTTATACCTACCTCAGAAATATACTTCGATACGAAATATGAATACCTGCTCCAAAGACTGCTTGGCACTGGAAGCCCTCTACTGGTAGTGAGATGTTAGCTCTGGACTTTGAACTGGTTTTGTCAGTTATAATAAGACCTTACCTACCTGCGGACTTGATGGAGTGACCTGAAGGTGTAATTTGGTGATTACAACAATAGGAACTCCTAGACTAGTGGAACTAGGTGTGCCGAGTTTGGGTTCGTTTTGTTGGTTATGATGAGACCTTACCACCGGACTTGATGGAGTGACCTGAAGGTGTAATTCGGTGATTACAAGTGGAACTCCTAGACTAGTAGAACTAGGTGTGCCGAGTTTGGGTTCGTTTTGTTAGTTATGATGAGACCTTACCACCAGACTTGATGGAGTGACCTGAAGGGGTAATTCAGTAACTACTGCTGGAATTTCTGAACGAGTAGAACTAGATGTGCCGAATTTGGGCTCCGTTTTGTTAGTTATGACGAGTCCATACCTCCGGACTTGATGGAGTGACCTGAAGGTGTAAATCGGTGATTGCAACTGGAACTCCTAGACTGGTGGAACTAGGTGTGCCGAGTTTGGGTTCGTTTTGTAGGTTATGATGAGACCTTATCACCGGACATGATGGAGTGACCTGAAGGTATAGTTCGGTGATTACAAGTGGAACTTCTAGACTTGTAGGACTAGGTGTGCCGAGTTTGGGTTCGTTTTGTTAGTTATGATGAGACCTTACCACCAGACTTGATGGAGTGACCTGAAGGGGTAATTCAGTAACTACTGCTGGAATTTCTGAACCAATAGAACTAGGTGTGCCGAATTTCACTCCATCAAGTCCGGTGGTAAGGTCTTATCGTAACTAACAAAACGAAACCAAACTCGTCACACCTAGTTCTACTAGTCTAGGAATTCCATTTGTAACCACCTGATTACACCTTCAGGTCACTCAATCAAGTCCGTTGGTAATGTCTCATCGTAACTAACAAAACGAACCCAAACTCGGCATACCTAGTTCTACAAGTCTAGGAGTTCCACTTGTAATCACTGAACTACACCTTCAGGTCACTCCATCAAGTCCGGAGGTATGGACTCGTCATAACTAACAAAACGAAGCCCAAATTCGGCACACCTAGTTCTACTCGTTCAGAAATTCCAGCAGTAATTACTGAATTACCCCTTCAGGTCACTCTATCAAGTCCGGTGGTAAGGTCTCATCGTAACTAACAAAACGAACCCAAACTCGTCACACCTAGTTCTACTAGTCTAGGAATTCCATTTGTAACCACCTGATTACACCTTCAGGTCACTCAATCAAGTCCGGTGGTAAGGTCTCATCGTAACTAACAAAACGAACCCAAACTCGGCACACCTAGTTCTACAAGTCTAGGAGTTCCACTTGTAATCACTGAACTACACCTTCAGGTCACTCCATCAAGTCCGGAGGTATGGACTCGTCATAACTAACAAAACGAAGCCCAAATTCGGCACACCTAGTTCTACTCGTTCAGAAATTCCAGCAGTAGTTACTGAATTACCCCTTCAGGTCACTCTATCAAGTCCGGTGGTAAGGTCTCATCGTAACTAACAAAACGAACCCAAACTCGGCACACCTAGTTCTACCAGTCTAGGAGTTCCAGTTGCAATCACCGATTTAGACCTTCAGGTCACTCCATCAAGTCCAGAGGTATAGACTCGTCATAACTAACAAAACGGAGCCCAAATTCGTCACCCCTAGTTTTACTCTGCAAGAAGTTCAAATAGCGGTCACGAAAGTACACCTTCAGGTCATGCCATCAAGTCCAGAGGTAAGGTCTCATCATAACCAACAAAACGAGCCCAAACTCGGCACACCTAGTTCCGCTCGTCCACGAGTTGCAGTAGTAGGTAAGTTTATATATCCTACTTATTTTTAGCTAAATAAAAACTGTGAGTATAAAAATAATAATTTTATCACTTGTCAAGTACTTATGTTTCCAATTTGTTTTTTTCTAATATTTTGTGTATGTACAGCGATCTTTTCAGAATGAGCCGCTGCAAACAGGCGATACAGTGTCCACTCACGACGGCGGCCGAGCGCGGACTGTGGTTTCATCGAAATCTTTGTACAATAAATCAAAGCAGGCACCAACAATAAAATAGCCCTTATTGCAATACATTATGATTCATCCATATTACCAAAATATGTGAAAAAATGTGCATCAGTTTTTATTTTTTTTACGACTATTTGTGACATTTTGTTAAAAAATAAACCCAGGGTTTTTTTAATTGAATATGTCTGTCATCTTATAGTATTTTTTAAATTTTTAAATATGTTGATAATAGACCAAAACATCTACCGAAACACAAGCCGGTATCGTTAATTTTGTAGAAAATGACAACGAAAGTTCGTTTTTACAATATAAAAAACTACTATTTTCAACAAAAGAGTTACAGACATTTGCAGATGAAGAACCAATCTATACATGGTAGTTTTTACTTATATTTGATTTGGTTTAGTTTTGTCACAAAATCTACCGAAAAACACCCTAATTTTGGTTGATTTGCAAACGCGTCCTTAAAGGAGTTCAAAAAAGCTAAAAAACAGTTAAGCTTTGCCAAAAGAGCCAAAAGGGCTATGAAGTTTTCCAAAAGGGAAAACTTTGAAAAATTCACTTCTAACTTGAAACCCCTTGCGAAAAAAATAATATGGATGCAAATTACGCAAAGTAGAAAACAGTCAAAAGGTTGGAGATTCTCTGATGAGAAAAAAATTATTGCACTTGCTATTATGAAACAAAGCCCAAAAACCTACAGATTTTTACGAAGAATATTCATTCTTCCCTCCATAAGGACAATTAATAAATTAATTAATAAGTTTAAGATGGATTCGGGAATAAATCCTCATATGAGGGGTATAGTTTCAAAAACCGCAAAGTCCACTTTTTTCAAGTAGCAACATTTTTATACGTCTAGTAACTCCATATTTTATAATACAGGTTAGTGTTTAGTTGGCCGATCAAAAGTAACTTTGTCCAATAGAAATTAAAGGTCAAAATATAATGGTTGAATCAAAATCAGCAAAGTCCTAACCCAGTTATTTCAAAATCAGCATTGTCAATTCGGCCAATCAGATGCCACCGTGATATTATGTCAAAACAGTATGGCGTGAGCCGGTGTAAGAGTCGATTTGGTGAAGGTGCATATTAAATAAAAGTAAAGAATTTAAATAGTAAACATGTAAATTTTATAGTCAAAGTGCATAAATTCCAACAATGGATAAATCACCAATAGTTGTCCAACAAATTAGAGCAAGAAAAAGACTTAGTGATAAAAATAAATGGAAAAAGAAATGTGGCGAAATTAGAGCGGTAAGTTAAGTGGTATTTACTGATTTTGATCCTTACAACTTATGTACCTACTTATGGTTTGTTGATGTCGGTAAAATACAGATTCTATTTGTAAGCGCTTTTACGTGATCTTTTAATAATAACAATTATAATAAATTAGTTTACATTATATGTGTATAGATATTTATATTGAATATGTAGGTACTATGAATACTACAAAGACAAACTTACGGGCGTACTTTTAACGAGATCGTCGGTGATCTTCTCTTGTAAAACGTAATACATTAAAGTATACTCAAGTTTCTTATCTGTGTGTAATTTAATAATATATGTATAATGCGGTTAATAATGTTTGTTACTATATTTTTTTATAGTTTGATGTTTTTTTTTCAGATACTCTGCAAAGAGCTTACCAGATCGTCCAAATTGTATTCACAAAAAGACATATGAATGTAATTCATTGACAATGAGTGATTTGATCGATTTTCATACGTGTTTTTACAAAAATAGGGATAAACGTTCGCAATATGCATTTATTCTTAAACACATGACAATATCAAAAGTGGCAAGGTATCGGCCTAGAAAATCCAAATACGTGGGGAGGAATTCAAGTAATAAATATTATATACGTTGTAAGTCAATTAAAAAGAAAAAAAGAGTATGTCAGAACACATTTCTTGCTATACTGGGTATTAAAAGATACCGTGTGGAAGCAATTGCTAAAATATTTCATAATGAAGGTGTCTTATTAGAGGAGCGTCGTGGGGGAGACCATAAGTCTCATTTATACTCAGCGAGACAGAAAGCAGTAATAGAATTTATTAAAAAATTGAATTGCTCTGAGCCACATTACTGTCGTGGCAGTAGTGACAGATGTTACTTACCCGCCGAACTAAGTATTAACAAATTATTCAAAATATATAACAATAGCCAGGCAGACAGTTTTTTGAAGGTAAAAAGAAGCTATTTTAGAAACATATTTAATACAAAATTTAACTTAGGATTCGGCTCACCTCAAACGGACGTATGCTCTGTATGTTTACAATATACAGAAAAAATCAAAACAAGTGTTGACGAGAAAGTGAAAACAGATCTAATGATTCAAAAAAGAATTCATACAAAAAGGGCCAAAGCTTTTTTATAATTACTTGAAGGATCAAGCACCAAACGTTTCGATTATATCTTTTGATTGTCAAAAAAATATGCCGCTCCCAAAAATTCCAGATCAAAGCACATATTATTCGCGACAATTTTACGTTTATAACTTCACTATTGTTACTGGGCCATCAAACACAAAATTAAACGAAAATAATACTTTTAGTTACATCTGGACGGAAGATACTTACGCCAAAGATTCCAACTTAATAGCTTCTGCAGTATTTCACCGATTAAACAATACATCATTTTCACAACAAATAGATACAATCAGATTAATGGCCGATGGGTGTGCTGGTCAAAATAAAAATTTCGCTGTAATTGGAATGTGTCAGAAATGGATGACCACAGCACCCATACATATAAAAAAAAATGGAAATAATCTTTCCTATAGTGGGACACTCATTTCTGCCTCCCGACCGCGTTTTTGGCAGAACAGAAAAAGAATTTCGAAAACGAGACACAATATTGGAACCTTGTGAGTATATAAATATAATAAAAGAAAATGCTACTATAATTGAAGTCGGAAAAGATTGTCTCGTCCAAGATTGGAAGGAAGCTGTTAAGAAGATCATAAAAACACCCGGTCAGTGGCATATCCCTTTTATGAAATGCAAACGATTCATTATAAAGCGATCTAAGTTGTCTTTTGAAAATACAGTAATTAAGGGCGAAATAAATTATATGATTGACACGGGAGTTTTCAGAAGTGTTTGTAAAAAAAATAAAAGAACATCCGAAATTGATGCCCAAAATATGCAAACTACAGGAATCATAAAATCAGCAAAAGTCAAAGATGTCAATAAACTATTAACATCTCATTTCGGCGATTCCTGGAGAACATTTCCAATTTTATGCTTTTATGACAAATTAATACCACAAAATGTAGAAGCAGATGTCGATCAACAAGAAGATGAAGAAAATATCTGCGAAGAAAATGTTGACCTACCTGATGTTCGAATTTAATTTTTTTTAAATAAAGCTATAATTAATTGTCTTCATATTATTTTTGGTCATACATTCCGTATAAGCTTCATATAATATTTATATGATATTTCACTAATAAGAATATATTTATCGTTCTCATGCATTTTTCACAACGTATCAATTTGTGTAGTCGCACTATAGCCTAAAAGTAGCATTATCAAAGTCAGCAATGTCCATTGACATTTGTTTCAAAAATAGCAATGTCCATATGAATGATTCAAAAACCGCAAAGTCCATTATGTTTTCGTATTTTTTCAGTTTTAGAGCTACTGTTGTGCTTATTAACAATAACTGAGAGTGGATCATTCATTATTCGATTCATAATATGTTAAGTTTTAGGGGGAAAAAGGTTAAATCAATATTTTACTAATTCGTCAACATCGGACTTTGTTGTTTTTGAAACTATACCCCTCATATATTTAAAGCGATTAAAACTGAGGTATACTGTTTCCTTAAACACTACTCATTTTTGTCTTAAGTATATTATTATGTTAAGCTAATTACCCAATGTTTTTATTCCTAGGTTGGAAATTGGCAAGAATCCAAAAAATATTGCTCATTAATATTTGATTAAGTTTCAATAGAGCCAGGTCTTACATACGACAAATACAATGACAATATCTGTGGACTTGTAGAGTTACTGTCAAAAACCTGTGACTATGCTGACCATGCCTTAGTGTTCCTCATCCGAGGTGCAGTACACAAATGGCAACAGCCTATTGCCTTTTATTTTTGTCAGGAACTACACCTGCACTTATATTAAAAAATATAATAGAGCAAGTGGTAGAAGAAATAATAAAAACAGGATTAATCCCTGTGGCTCTAATATCAGATCAGGGAACTTCATTCCAGTCAGCTATTAATAAGTTGAAGGTAGATACAAGAAAAAAACAAATATTGGCAAACGAAAATACTGGTAAGATAATTGAATGAAAGGAGCTAAAATTATCAGTAATGTGTTTTTGTATTTTTATTGCCTATTAACCAAATTTTTGTATTCATTTCAGACGACACAATCATAATAAAAGGTCAAAAAATTAATATCTTATTTGATCCTCCTCACCTCTTAAAGGCCTGAGAAATAATTTTCTGGACAAAAATATAATATTGGAAAAACGTCAAAATGGGATGACATTGTAGACGTTTATTTAACCGACTGCAAACATGCAGAAATGCGTTTGTTGCATAAGTTAAATGATGAACATGTCATCCCTCAGAAAATTAAAAAAATGAAGGTAAGCCCACCAATATAAGAAAATAAATAATCATTAACAATTTTATGCCTTTCGGTGTAAATTAAAATGTTGAATATATTACTATTTTTATGTGAATACAGCTTTACAGCTTTGGAATAAAGCCAAAATAATTATTATAACATTTGGTTTTCCAGGTGAAAAACTGCAGTCGTGTGTTAAACAAGACTGTTGCAGGAGCCTTGGCGTACACATCACAATTTTGTAAGTCTGTTGATCTAAATCCGAGATGATTAACTTATTTCTTTTACCGCCCCATTTGAAAATCAAATTATTTTTCAGTGCACCCAATTTTTTATACACTCTTAAAACTAAAAAAAACACAATTTCATTACATTTTAATTAATTTAGTTATAGTGTGCTATATTAGTCGGTTCTGGTGTTTGAACTTACATTCTAAACTAGACATTACCAGTAAGAGCAATTAAAATGCAGCTTCATAATATTAAGAATATATATAAAAGATAGGTAATCAATTTTAGTTTTAAAACTAATCTAATGATGGATGGATAAATTTTTTTAGTAAGCAGCGTTGTCAAAACGCTAAATCCACGTTCACACAAATATGACGATGAGAATGCCATCAAAAATCGTTGAACGATCGACCACAATCCAGGATACAACTGCGGGATTGACTTTTGTAGCCAAAATTCTTGGTAGTCATTTTTGAATTTGATTTTTATTTCCTCGTTCGGTGTCAGTTCTATAAATTTAAAAAAAATCATGGTCATTATAGACTCTTCAAAAGTCCACTGCTGAACATAGGCCTCACCCGAGGTATGCCGTTATACACAAAACTCACCCATGTGCACCCATCATTCTCCTGCATGTCTTATCAAGTTATCACCTTATTGGGGGGCAGTCTTACGATTTGCTTACAGGTATGAGGCTACTTGTGGAAAACCTTTTGTATTCACTGACCTATTAAGTCCTAAATCTAGCAGAGGATATAGATATAGAAATCTGATATTTATTAATTATACTTTTCTGTACTTTTTATTTCATACAATATATTATAAAAACACTGACAACAAACTATTTACAAAATGTATGATAAGCTGGCCTTAATGCTAAACAGTAATCTGTTATAAGCAAAAGTATAGAGGAGATTATTTTTATTTAAACAAATAAGGGTGTATCAATACATATAAATTGTATTTTTTCATAGCATAAGGGTGACAAACGGGCACAAAGTCCACCTGACGGTAAGTGGATGCTGTGGCCCATACAAATCTACATTTATCCTAGATTAAGAATCAAAATGCAGATGCATTGTCATCCCTGAGGACTAAGGTGGAATGCCTCGTTTCCAGCAAAAAAGGGTCTCCGGATCCCTACACCATACGAAACACAGCATTCATATACCATACGAAACACAGCAGTATTAAGCTGCTATTTGACGTTAGTATTATGTGAGGTCGTGGTTCTTCCCCGTTCGGGTAAACACATTCGTGTTACAACCATAATATAGCAGCAGCGTTGCTCTACCACGTATTATGTAGAATATAAGAAGAATAAAAGAGAAACAAGTAACATTATGCCATTAAAGTAACAATAATTGCAATAATTTAGGGTTTCTGTGACTAAAATTATATTCATATTTATTTTACAGCCCACTATGCTGATGGAAAAACTGTAAGCTCAACATTAAAAAATACATCAGAAGTTGTGTCATTTTTCGATGACTTATTTGACTCGTGTAATGGGGCAGCTCTTAGACGAAGAAGTAAAGGGAAGCCCTTAAGGCAAGCAGTTACGAATTCGTCGGAGCACGAAACTTTTTGGGCAAATGCCATAAAAAAGTTAGAGAAAATGCGATTTGTTAATAAAGAGGGCAAGGAGTGTATTGTGCCCTCTCAAAAAAATTATGTTGTGACATTAAAAAGTTTTATTAGATTGTGGCGCTTCTTTAAAGAAAAGGGTTTAAAAATTATGCGCCCAAAGTACTTTAATTCTGACCCGATTGAAAACTTTTTTGGTCAAATCCGAGCATATAGTTACAGAAGCAACGATCCAAATTGTCAGGCATTTAAAAATATATTTCGCTCATTGTTAATAACGAGATTTATTAGAAGTTTCATTCTGAAAATTATATTTGTGAGGAGACGTCGGGAACAAATTATAAAATTAAAAACATTATTAAAGGCACCACAAGTTTGTGAAACCCAGATGCCTCTGTCATCATCTAAAGTAACCATTTCTCCCGATAACATGAGATCCAACTAGAAGCTCAAAAAGAAAGACTCCGTGTACACTCTCGTGCATATACTGCGGGGTGGATTGTGAAAAAATGATTAAAATAATTAAATGTAACAATTGTAAAAAATGTTTAACCCAAAATAGTGAGTCATCAGTCCACCAATGGATTTCTCACAGAGAATACAGAAACTTAAAAAGAAAACAAAAATTAACCTATCCCTCAGAATATGCAGTGAGGTATTTTTCAAACATTGTAAAAGAAACAAACGAATATTTGGAAGAGAAACCAAATAGTTATGAAATTAAAAAAAAATAGCAAATACAATTAAATCCAAATATTCGTTTGATTTCTTAACATGCCCGAGTCATAAAGAAGCTCTACTAGAATAGTTTGTCTCCATTACAATAAAATTATGTGTATGGAACTGCGAGGTTAAAATTATATAACCAATTGCCACAATTAATGCAAGGTAAAGCCTATAAAAAATTTCAAAAGAAGTTAAAAAATAAAAACTTGAATAAATAAAATAACAGTTGTTTTATTTTTGTGTTATAAGTTTAAAATTTTAAAATTGTTAACTTTTAGATGGTGAATAGCTATGAGGTGAATGAAATTAGGCTTTATCAATAATGTGCTTTTGTCAACTAAAAAGTTTAAAAAGAAAATGGCTTTATCAATGATGTACTTTTGCCTAATACCTCAAAAATTAGAAGTAAACAAATGTCAAACTCTATTCTACCGGTTTCGTATTGGTTGTTCTAAGATTCTTGTCTGATGCGTAGTATCATAGATAATACCTATATACCAGAGATAGATGTGCCACTCACATTTCAGTTTTTGAAATAGGGTACCCTGCAGTCGCGCTAGATGGCGTATTTTATGTAATAACTATGCTGACTATTTACGAAATGTACAATTTTATTATAAATGTTATTTTATTTACTAGATAATTATTGGATATAAAAGTAAGGTTACAAAAAAAGCACCGCACCACCGAGCACCTGGTAAATCACCAGCTTTTGTTCTAATAGGAATAGTTTTGTTCGTTTGCCTAAAATTGATTTGCCTCATTTCGATGGGAACTACCAATGCTGGCTCGAATTTCGAGATACGTTTACGTCATTAATTCACAATAACTCTAGTATCAATGAAATAAACAAGTTCCACTATTTGCGCGCTTCATTGCATGGAAACGCAGCCTTAGTTATTAAAAATATTGATTTTAAAGGCGATCATTATAAAATTGCGTGGGACATATTGTGTGAGCGGTATAACAACAATCGCCTTCTTGTGAATAATCATGTGCAAGCTTTATTTAATGTCGATCCTATAGTCAAGGAGTCAAGTATCTCAATCAGAAACCTCGTAGATACAATTAATAAAAATGTAAAACACAATATTGGGACACATTATTAATATATGTCATGACTAAAAAATTAGATTTGACAAGTCGTGACTGGGAAGAGCATAGGAATAATATTATAAAAGATGATCCTACTTTGATGCAATTTTGTTCTTTTTTAGGT